CGATCTCAGCCACGGACTTGCCGTTGATCCAGTGGTCAGTCCCAAAGCGACAAGTGTTGCCTGAGCCAAGCTGCCAGCTTGTGGAGGCGCGGAAGATGGCGTTAGCGTCGGCATCGTGGGGGGTAGGAAGGTGGCTCCAAGGTCGTGAGGGGTCTGTGCGCTGGAGCCACAGCCAGCGGACGCACAGGGACAAGCCCGTGCGGTAGATGTCGCGTATGCCAAGGCCGCCGAGGGAGATGGGGCGGGACATCCGCTGCCAGTTGACGCGGCATTGGCCTCCGTTGGCCTCCTTGTGGCCCGCCCAAAGGAATCCGCGGATGATCCGATTCACCTTCTTGATGGCCGTTTTGTTGAAGGCGACGGCCGCGAGGAAATGCGTGGGGATGGCGCAGAGGACGTGCCGCACTAGGGCAAGGCGGTCGCTTTGAGAAAGCATGGAGGCTCGCCAGGTGGATAGCTTGTGGCCGAGCTTGTCGATGATTGACTCGAGACTCGTCGAGCAGGTCTTGCGGACGGGGAGAGGCATCCCTGTACTATACCATACATAAACTCATCTTTTATTCCTGTATCCAGTTTTCCTCTATAAATGCACATCTGCTTCTAGTTATCACAGTTGAATTAATAGCAACAATCATAACTAGAAAAACAAGAAAATAAACAAAATGAAAGTAAACTGGGTATTTTTTTCTCGAGAGTACGCAAATTGCGTACCTTAGCTTTATAGAAAATAGAGGTTTGAATACACGAAAATGACAGTCCGTTGTGCACAACCTGTCACAACACTCCACACCGGCCAGTCCAAAGACAGCCCCCCACACATGACAACAACAACAACAAAAAAAAAGCATGTCCTAAACTGAGCAGCAAGGCCGCATCTCAACCAATGCCGCCACCTCCAAAAAGAACATCTTCATCTTGACTTTCCTCATTGACGCGCCATCCTAAAGAGGGTGGATTGCGGAATTTGGTCCATTCCGAGAAAGGCGTCGTCTTGGACACACTAGAAATGGTGTGCATAGCGCCCCTACAAAACGATCTTGGAAAGCAACGAGGCCGGAGGAAAGCAACCTAGGACCTACAAGCCGTGTCTCCAAACACGATACTCCCAAGAGAGGAACGACGTCGAGGACGCCACTATCGCGCCGGTCCAACTGCAAACCTAGGCTTTCGCCCGGAGACATCAACCATACCACAATGAAGCAAGTACCGTGTCGACACACCTCGGCGACGCCTCCAAGGAGGGAAACGACACCCACGGGCGTCGTCGTCGTCGCCGGCCCCGACCGAAGGCGGACAAAGACTTTCGTCTGTGACGTCGCACACCATCCTCCTCGCCCACCGGAATGGGGCAGCCATCCACGTTGTTCACACCGCCGCCGCCGCAGGAAATCAATGTCGTGGCCGATGTGTCATGGAACACCGACGACCCGCACGACGAGAGCCCACCTCTCTACCAACTCCAATCTGGCCGAGCACCCACAACCCCCACCGTCGAGCACCTCCTGTGGTCGAGGGACCGCCGCACGCTGCTGTCACGCTCCTGACAGCAGCCATACAGACCGGGGCCCCAGCCCAGATCGGGCCCTGGCTGGGCCCAGATCTAGCCCGCAGCACCCTCTCCATGGCCGCTGGTGGCAGCTCCACTACGATTTCCGCCGCCTCCAGGAAGCACCACCGACGGCCGCGGCGCTGCCAGCTCCGCCTCCATGGCCCGAGGAAGCCGCACGGACGCAGACCTCGCGCCGCAGCCTCTGCATCGCCGCATCCAGGCCCGCGCCGCCGCTTCCATGGCCGCTCACCCCTCCGAGCTCCGGGTCCTCCGCCAGCCTTCACGCAGCTCCGCCACGACCCTCCTCTCGCCACCCACCGCCTCACAGCACCGCCGCCGTGCGCCGCCCGATGAAGCCCTCCTTCACGCGAAGACAGTCCCACCGGGCGCGCTCTCCTCCCCGCTGCCTTCGGCGGCTAGGGGGCCGCCACCACCGCCAGGACCGGCGGCGGCGGCCTGGTGGATCTGGGGTAGGTGGCTTGCTGGTTAGGGTTTCGTCCCCCCGGGGTCGCCCGCGCGTGCGACCCGGGAGGGGAAGGGGGCATGGGATTAAACTAGGTATTTATGGGAGTAACTAATAAGCATTGATCAGTTAGTTACCACAGGTGCCTTTAAGTTCTGCACCGATTGTACCTGGTTTTCATGACATAGGCAGTGCCGAACATTAAAAATATGGCTTAATTTCTACAAGGGGAAATATGGTTTAATACTTAAATTTTCTCAGAAAGGGAAAATATGGCTTGAACCTAACTTTGTTGCAATAGAAAGTAAATTGCTACATGTATTTGGGGTAGCGTTGTAATTTTGGGTTTTGCCCTTTCTTCGGCTTGTGCATAACCTCTTTTTCTATCAATACATCTAGTTGCAAAGCTTTTGGGGTTTTCTCAAAGATAAAAATATGCAAAACATGCATTGCCACAAGGCTTTTGCCACCCTAGTCAGCACCAAATTAATTTTATCAGGTTCACCATTAGCTGCTTCATTAGATCAACCATTAAATATATTTCTGTACTATATATAAATCTCTGATGCTGCATGAACTAAAATGTAACCATTCTTGCGGTATGATCTCTTTCGGTAGCCATTTCGACATCGTAGGGAGAACCACAGAAAACTCTAGTTTCATTCTCAGCGAGATACGTAGGTCGGCTGATAGGAGTATTGAGAAATGCTTCTTGCAGGAGCCATTTTTGTCAGCGTCCATCACATCCATTCCTTTCACGCATCAGATGCGTTATCGAGTAAGCTTGAACCTGCTAGAACAGAACTACAAACATAACAACAATTTGATACTATAATTTAAGACAGAAGTACCCACGAGACCCCGACATCCTGGCAAGCTACTCGTGATAAAGACTGAAATAGAGGATAGATTAGTCTTCTTCAGACCCGGGGTACTTGAAGATCATCTTGATCAAGCTGGCGTCTATTCTCTGGGTAGCAAGGTTAATGGTGTCGGGTTAGTACTCCAACTTTCGAATTCATGCACTCAGACTATCTCAGGAGCAAGGGCAAGCATGCTTAGAATTAAAACAAATAACAAAGCTTGCCAAATACTCGTATTATGGGATATCTTTCAGTTGTGATATGTATGAGGCGGGGTAATTCAGTAGGACAATCTCAGCCACATAGATGGTATAGCCTTGGTCAAGTCTTTGTTTATTCCAGTAATCCAGTTCATTCAATGGAACTCTTAATTAATTAACCTGCTCATGTGTTAATGCAATGCTGACTGCTTAGCAATTTTAAAATAAACCATGGTGGTTTTCCCTTCTTGACAGTGGTACCAGGCTAAAAAATTAACAAACTAGAACTACAATTAATTTGGAAGAGACAAGGTACATACCAGTACTCAGAAATAGAATTCCAACCAGCTAATACCAGCTGCTAGATTCATTTCTATCAACGGCACAACCAAAAAGGTCGTGCAACCTAAGATTCGGCCCTACAAAATGTGTTAAAAGTAAACAGCTAACAATTAACAGAGATGTTCGCGAAGATCACAAGGTTTTCGCCCACCCTCGTTTGCACGCAAACCGCAGAGTTATGGCGAGTGAGGACGGGTTGACGAGTGAAGGAGGACTCCAGCTGCTTCCAGGCAGCTGCCAACCGCTGTCAACTTCAGCTTGTCCCCAACCACCAGGTACCTAGATGGTTGCTGACTCAAGATTCTGGGTCTGACTGTAGCTATAAAAACCATAACACAGCAGATCAGGAATGAACAAATTAGGATGTGCAATCTAACGATTTTCATGAAAGGCAAACATAAAACAAAATTGCATTCCACATCAGCTTCAAGAATTTTTTTAGGCAGCAAAATTAATCAAACAATAGATTATACACATGCACAGATTCCCTTTTTTTGGAAGACTCAGTACAGGTACAAATTTGAAAGGGACTAAACAAGAAAACAAGCACCGCAAGCAAGTCTAGTCCTATCAAACAGTCATCGCTACAGAGCATGTTAGGCTGTTTTTATGCTGATCGTTGAATGATTCAACACACAGATGCAGTCCCTGTCGGCAATCCCCTATCATTCTTCCATGTTGTTAGCTGTCACAGGAGCCCAGTTGCAAGTTCGCAACTCAAACTCTGATTCAAGTTCGGTGCAAGCAAAATCATAACACAAATGGCAGTGGCGAGTACCTCTTCGGCTCTCTGTCGCCTGCCTCTCCTTCTCGTCCTCCTACTCCTCGCTGCCACCAGCGAGGCCACCACATTCAGTGTCATCAACCGATGCTCCTACACCGTGTGGCCAGCCGCTGTTCCGGTTGGTGGTGGCGTGAAGCTCGATCCGGGGGAGATGTGGGAGATGGACGTTCCCGCTGGCACCACGAGCGGGCGCATCTGGGCACGCACAGGCTGCTCATTCAATGGCGAAGGCAACGGGTCGTGCCAAACTGGCGGCTGTGGCGGCTTGCTCGCCTGCAAGGACAATGGTCAACCGCCCAACACGATGGGCGAGTTCACGCTTGGCCAAGGCCAAACGAGTGACTTCTTCGACATCTCCCTCATCGACGGCTTCAACGTGCCCATGGACTTTCTGCCGGTGCTGGTTCAGGGAAGGTCAGGATGCAGCAGGGGCCCAAGGTGCGCAGCCAACATCACATATCAGTGCCCAGACGAGCTGATGGTGCCGGGGGGTTGTAACAGTCCATGCAGGATCTTCGGGGGGGACACTTACTGCTGTACTGGGAGCGCGACAAGCAACTGCGTCCCCACGAACTACTCAAAATTCTTTAAGCGGCTGTGCCCAGATGCCTACAGCTACCCCAAGGATGATTACAACAGCACTTTCAGTTGCCCGACGGGCACCAACTACCAGGTCGTCTTTTGTCCCCTGATTAATCAAGCATTATCGCCTACACCTGAAAATCCCGTGCCTGCACCCCCGACCGAGGTAAGACCTCCGACCCCAAGTACTCTGCCTGCAGCTATTGGACCAACAAGCATGAAACCGAAATCCTCCTATGTAAGAAGAGTTGTTGCAATCCTAGCTCCCATAGGCGGCATCATTTTGCTCACCATCTTGTTCCTTGTCACTTTTATATGTAAAAGGAGAACACAACAACAGCATGAGATGGAAGAAGAGGAAGAGTTTGGGGAGCTACAAGGAACACCAATGAGATTCACATTTCAACAGCTAAAAGCAGCAACTGAGCAGTTCAAAGACAAGCTCGGGGAAGGAGGATTTGGGTCTGTTTTCAAGGGACAATTTGCTGATGAAAGGATTGCGGTAAAACGTTTGGATCGATCTGGCCAGGGCAAAAGAGAATTTTCGGCAGAGGTTCAGACAATTGGCAGCATTCACCATATTAATCTGGTGAGATTGATTGGTTTCTGTGCAGAGAAATCCCACAGGCTCTTGGTATATGAGTACATGCCCAAAGGATCCTTGGACAGATGGGTCTATTGTCGACATGACAATGATGCTTCTCCTCTGGATTGGAGCACGCGGTGCAAGATTATAACTCATATAGCTAAGGGCCTCTCTTATCTTCATGAGGAGTGCACAAAACGAATTGCTCATTTGGATGTCAAACCACAAAACATCCTCTTAGATGATGACTTTAATGCTAAACTTTCTGATTTTGGACTATGCAAACTCATAGACAGGGATATGAGCCAAGTGGTTACCAGAATGAGAGGCACACCTGGATATTTAGCTCCTGAATGGTTGACATCACAGATCACGGAAAAGGCGGATATCTACAGCTTCGGCGTCGTGGTCATGGAAATCATCAGTGGAAGAAAGAACCTCGACACTTCCCGGTCAGAAGAGAGCATCCATCTCATCAGCCTATTGGAGGAAAAGGTGAAGAGTGATCGGTTGGTAGATTTGATTGACAATAACAGCAACGACATGCAAGCACACAAGCAAGACGCAATTCAGATGATGATGCTTGCAATGTGGTGCTTGCAGATTGATTGCAAAAAAAGGCCTAAAATGTCTGAGGTGGTAAAAGTATTGGAAGGTGCGATGAATATAGACATCAACATAGATCATAACTTTGTTGTGAATACAGCAAATTTTGGTAGTCTTGCAAATGTGAGCTCTTCAGCTCCACCTCTAGCTTCAGATGTATCAGGCCCCAGGTGAAACAAGACGATCCTGACAAGGTAGCCAATTAGATTGTGAGTAGGGGATTCTCCCAAAGCTATGATCTGCTGTATTTTCTCAAATTATTACAATCAGATGAACTTATTTGTATTCCTTTGTTCAGGTTTTCCTTGTAACACAAACCTGCTTTGAGCTATCATGGTTGAAATTAATACTAACAAGTTTTAAACTTCCCGTAGCTCCAATAAAGCAGATAAATGCAGAGTAAAAGCAAATTGGCAATCTGAGGGACTAACTAATTAACATCAATCAGTTGGTATGTTAGTTACTACAAGTGCCTTTATGTTCTGCAGCATTTCCACTGCCGTTTTATGACATTAGGTACAACTTGATTTCCTCAAAATGAGAAAAGATGGCTCAAACCTATTGTAAGCCGTTTTGAGAAAACTGTAAAATGCTACATGCATTTGATATTTTTTGCCCTTTTTTAACACTCCAGATAACCAAAAGTTTGATAATTGGTGAGATATTTATTAGTTCTTGTTTCCATTGACTGAGGATTTTGCTACATGTTCAATCCAAAGATTTCAGATTTTTAGCTAAATTGTGAATAGGAAGAGGAACTCTATTTGAGACTTGGCTTGCAAATCTAAGAAATTAACTGTAAATTGCCTAGATTTCTCCAGTAACCGCACACATATATCATTTTCATCAATTCAGTGTCACACAGTTCCTGGATCTTGATCCATATTTCCCGGGTTCCCTCCATAAGGTTCTTCTGACCCTAACACTATCCCAGCCCTGTAATTGTATCCGAGGGACTAACTAATAAACATCGGTCAGTTGGTATGTTAGTTACCGCAAGTGGCTTTATGTTCTGCAACATGTCCACTTGGTTTTTATGACATTAGGTACAGCTTGATTTCCTCAAAAGAAGAAAAGGTAGCTCAAAGCTATTGTACGGCGTTACGAGAAAACTGTAAAATGTACGTGCATTAATAATTTTTTGTCTTTCTTAAATCCCAGATAACCAAAAAGTGTTGATAATTGATGAGATGTTTATTCTTGCTTCCATGGACTGTGAAAGGATTTTGCTACATTTTCAATACAAAGAATACAGATTCGTAGCTTGCAAAGATGTGAGTAGGACGAGGAACTCAGATTAAAATTTAGTTTGCAAAGTTTATAAACTAACTATAAATTGCCCAGATTTTTCCAGTATCTACACACATATATCGTTTTCATCAATTAAGGTCACAGTGCCCCACGGATCTTCAATCTTGAAACATATTTCCTGTGTTTTGCCCCATGAGATTCTTTTAAACATAACACTATCCCTGCCCTGTAACCGTATTCACCAGCGAAGGAAGCACTTCAAGGACCTAATCAACTGTTAACTCAAGGTTGCTGCTCCAGTACTCCAGGATATTAAGAAGCCTTGTTTGCATTCTTTACATATTGGCCAGAGAACCCAAGATAACAAGGCTCTGGCCATCCTTCTCTGTTGCACGGGAACCGCAGAACCATCATAGTGAATAAGACATTTTCGTCGGTAAAGACGTCTTGGTCTTGAGCTGATTCCTAGCAGCTTCTGAGCCTCTACAGCAGACGAATAAGTCAATTTTATTGTTTTGTCCAGTTTCTCCCGTGCAAATCTGTTTCTAGTAATTGTACTTGAAATTAATAGCGTGTTTAAATTTTCCACATGTGCGGAGAAAGCAGAGAGATGCACCGTATGAAAGCAAATTGGGACTTCGAGACACTAATAAGCACCAAATGTTTAGTATCAACAAGTGCTTTTTGTACTAGCAATAATCCACTAAGTTTGGAAAGGCAGTGAGTTCCTTTATTGGTCTTTAAGCTCTCTTTGTTGCTTCACAGTTCCTATGTGATACTTCAGTTTTACATGGAGTGGCCATCATGCAGATCTGACAAAAATTCTTATTTTGCGAAGAGGGCTACAAATGGACTTTACACACTTCTGCAATACTAGAACTTCTGTTTCAGAAAAAAATGACTCATTTTATGGGGACTGCTGAAATTCAGAGTTTTTTTAAATAAAAATAACTGCACAATGAGAGATTTGCTATACAATGATGACCAGAGGGCAGAGGAGGTAGTGATGTGCATCAAGTTCTTATGTCTAAAAAGATGGCTCGGCTTTCTCAAAAGATGAAAAATACGGCTTTCAACTGTTTAACTTGTCGTGCTCAGAAATATTTAAATGCTACTAATATTTTCTGAAGTTTGGAACGACATCTTCAAAGTCAGATGTTTACGGCTGTGGCATGGTTGTGATGGAAATGCTGAGTAGGAGGAGTCGTATGACGGTCCATGTTTTGATAGCCAAGATAAGCTTCGTGACAAAAGAATCACGGGGCAAGAACTGGAATCGGTAAGTAAACTTGTCAACTATAATGATGCCTCCTAACAATTGGCTTTTTTCCTCTGCACCACCCGCCAACAGATGAACCCAGCCATGAAAATGTTCTACTGTACCAAGACATATACACATGACTACATCAGCAAGACATATACACATGACTACATCTACATCAGCTATGCCAAGTTTAATCCCATTCGGTTTTCGACTCATGATGTAATGTAATGCTGTTGCACCAAATTATCGCGTACCTAGATTGCAATACATTGAATTGCCTGGCGTTGGTGTGGTTCACGTTCATCCCCATCCCCATCCTTATCCTTGACCTGCCATGCTTGTCCCTACTGAAGAACCCATGCGTGAGTATTTCATCGTCGAATTGCTGGCCGAGCGAGTAATTGATAAGCGAGTTGGTTAATTACCTCCGCCGACGAGAGGATTGAGGGGATGAAGCCGAAGTCGGCAACGCGGTTCCCCTCGCTGGAGGCCGGCGATTAGGGGCGGCGCGCCTGCTGATGGGGCGTAGTGGAAAGATGTGGTACTGGGCGGGAGGAATGGCGGCAGCAATGCCCTGCTTCCGGACGGCCCAGCTCACCGGCGACTTCGCCGCGGATGGGGCGCCGCCGGCAACGGCTGGAGGAGAAAGGTGTTTTTTTCTTCTTCTTAGATTTTTTTAGGGGCAAGGAGGAAGGGTATGAGCAGGCCCCTGCCTCATGCAGGCGTAGAAAGCCCAGCCTATGCAGCCCACGGAATGTTGAACAGTTTTTTGTAGCGCTTCAGCTTTGTTTCTAATAAAAGCACGAGAAGGCGGAGAACCAGTCAATCTCATCCATCGAAAGGGTTGAATCCTACGATTCACGTGGCTTGGATGTTTAACGCCAACTATGTTTTACCCACGCTGCCACAAGTGACTCCGCACCCACGTATTACTGTGTCTTTCCTTCTTTCCCATGGCCCGGTTCTATTTTACAAAACTGCTCCACATTCCTTGTTGTGGTGGATCTAGACGAGGGGGTTGCCACCGGCCGCGTTCGTTGCGCCGGCCATAGAAGAGGGACAGAGATCTAAGGGAAGCACGGCGGCGATGCCGTTCATTGCGAAGGACACAATGGCCTGGGCATCGCGGGTGCGGCGACCTGGCTGCGGCCGCCATCGCCGATCCACTCCACGCGCGGCCTGCCCTTTGCCGACGCCCACCGCGTACTTCCGCCCCACTCTTCCGCCCCTCCAGTGTTGCCTCTCTTCACACCGATGCTGGGGATGCGCTGCAATGGCAGCTCCCCTCCATTCTTGCCGCTACTAATCCCTGTAATCTCGCCCCCTTCTTTTGTACAGCTCTCTCTGATTGTCGCTTGTCCAGGTTGCCAGATGAGCAAAGGCGTGGTCGCGGCCAAGACGAGAACAATGGGAAGCTGAAGCTGCCTGCGTGTTTGTGTTCATCACAGGTGCTCTCTCTTTTCCATCTTTTTTTTTGTACTTCATCGGATGATCATTGAATACTAATTCCCATGTCTACAGGAGGAAGAAGCATGGCGGTCCGTGTGCGGGGGAGTAGCCGCGGATTCAGGTCCTTCTATCGATCTGTTGTGCCTCGAAGTTTGTGTTCATCTCTGAGAAATTCCGCCGCATCCTCAGTCGTATGTATGCTTCGATCTATTTTTCATGTTGTTTTCTTGAGTCTTTGTTCTTGGTTATTGGGCGTTCGTGCTCTCTACAGCCCTTCACAACTCCCGAGCCCACATGTATTTGATGTAAGATGCTTTAACCTATTCTCTATTGTACATGCACTCTGAAATCCATTGCCAATTTGGCTTTAGGGAAATTCAGTCGCACAAGAAGCAACCCTGAGTTGTACTCCTAATTGGTATTGTTCTTAAGCACACAACAAAATGATGTGTATCAATTGCATATTTTTCTAAAGTTACTAAACCAGTACTGTATTTTTGCAGTTTCTTTCTCAAAATACGTCTCTCCTTTGAAGTCATTTTTCCTTCTACTGAATGTTCTTCTGAAAGAGAATCTCAACAGAGCAATCGGAAGGAGGAGAAAGCAGCCAGAGAGGAGAAGCTTAGAACAAGATACATGCATCAGATTAACTCATATTCCTGAACCAATATACTTTTTATGATTGAATTAAATAAAACAAGTATTTATATATTTCTTCAAATTAATGGATTCTAATGATATTCCGGCATGCAAATAATTTTTCCATATGTTTGACTATATTATATTGTGTTGCTGTGCAAATATGCAAAGAAGGATCTCACTTTTGGGGGCATGGTTTTGTGAATCGCCGTGTTATCTTGACCAAATATCTTACTATTTGTGCAGTGCTGCAATATGTATAGACTGGTCACCACTTTTACTCAGTTTCACTATATATATACTTGCAGCAACCAGCAACTACTAACTCAAATTTCTTCTTCACCTGCAAAAAAATATAGAATCTTCCTACAAGATACATGTCCAAACTGCTGGGATGTTCGCCGCCGCAGCCCCCAAACCCACTCGAGTGAGGAGGCTGTCGGAATGACCCGCCGTCATCCCCATGTTATGGCGAGCCAGGAGGAAGCTGGAGTGGCTCGCCCCTGCCCCCGCCCCCGCTCCCAAATCCGCGCGACTGGCGAGGGCGCTGGAGTGATCTGCGTCCCGGCGG